CCTTTTCTTTATTCTGTAATAGTATTGTTGGTGTATTGTTGTCACATCTTCTGCTTATTGAAGGGTTTTCCCTGTCATGTAGCTTCACGCGGTTCAGCACCTACTTATAAGGCAATGGAAGCTAAAGTCGCAGCTCTAGATTACGTTGATATCCCTCATTCTCAGATAAGAAAGGTATGTGAAAATTTGTCATTTTTTTAATAGTTTCATGAAAGTCTGAATGGATGCTAGCTGTTAAGCATTTTATGGTACATGTATTTTATTGTTTGGATCAACTTCATAGAAGATGGTTTCTGCGCATAGAATTTAAGCATTTGATCTAGTTTTGTAGTAATCTGAATTCAATTATACATAATGAAGTCTCAGATTCTAGCTATCTTTTTGTTTCGTTGACTCTTTGCATAACAATGCGGAGAAGTCGGGTCTCTTCTGCCCCTTTTCTTTTCTCCTTATTTTAATTCCATTACTTTGTTTCTTTCATAACCAATGTGCTTTGTGAGTCTAATTGCTGCCTTGAATTTGACAGGTCACAGCATCACGTTTATTATTCTCAAAGCAGACTATCCCACATTACTATTTAACGGTGGATACATGTGTTGACAAACTTATGGAGTAAGTAATAGTGCTTAAATCTTTTAAAAAGTAAGTAATTATTTGATATATTTTGCTAATTATTTGATATATCTTGGTAATTTTAAACTGTTTCTTTGTATTCAGTTTGCGGAGCCAACTCAATTCGTTACAGGAAGCTTCAGGTGGGAAGCGTATATCTGTCAATGATCTTGTAATTAAGGTAGAAAGCTTTCTATCCATATAATTACTTAGCGTTGAGATGTACAAAGTGGATCCTAAATTTTGTCACTTATGTCACCTCATCATATTTACTTGCCTTTTCCTCCATGTGAACCTTAGTCATTTCATGAGATTTTTCATTAGGTTTTGTAATACTTTCTTTGCCAAATCACTAAAGTGTTTGCGGAAATATTTACTCCTAACATGGTCTGAAGTGGCTGCTTTTGTTTAAATGCTAATATACTACTACTGCTAATAAGAAATTAGTGCATATTCTCCTCTTTTATCTGAAATACCAATAGCTTACTGCAAAAAATAGACAATTTAGATTTAAGATACTTAGAAGCCTTTGTCAACTACAGGCTGCTGCATTGGCTCTCCGAAAAGTTCCTCAGTGCAATAGTTCATGGACAGATGACTATATCCGGCAGTGAGTATAAATTACATAAAATACGATTAATTCATGATTGCATAATGCATATCATCATGACATGTTGATTTCTTGCTTCCGATTCAGGTATAACAATGTGAATATTAATGTAGCAGTGCAAACAGACAATGGGCTTTATGTGCCTGTGATCAGAGTGAGCAATTGTTTCAATTTATTGCTGTTTCTTTTTTATAAATAATATTCTAGTTTAACTTGTAAATTTATTGTACATATTGCAGGATGCTGATAAGAAAGGTTTGTCCTCAATTTCTGAGGAGGTCAAGCATTTGGCCCAAAAAGCCAAAGAGAACAGCTTAAAACCGGAAGATTATGAGGTCTGAAGTATGCTTTATGTTAATGAATAATAATTGGCGTTATGATGATTATCTAATCTCATATATGAGTGCTTACATGCTGGGTTTTTCTCTTTGCAGGGAGGCACATTTACAGTTTCGAACTTGGGAGGTCCCTTTGGTATCAAGCAATTCTGTGCCATCATTAATCCTCCTCAGTCAGGAATTCTTGCTGTTGGGTCTGGTAAGATTTGTACTTACTCTTGGCTTTCATCAAGTTATATTCATTTCTGCTTCTCCATAATTACTGGACTTTACTGTGAGCAGCTGAGAAGAGGGTTATTCCTGGCTCGGGTCCTGAACAATTCAAGTTTGCTTCATTTATGTCCGTAACTCTAAGCTGTGATCATCGTGTTATTGATGGTATGTAATTCTATTAAAGTCCTAGTAGTTTATGATTAATCTAAGTCAAATTTTATTCAGTGTCATTTAGATAGACAATCTAAGTAATTCCACTTGCTGTTTTTATAGGTGCCATTGGTGCTGAATGGCTGAAAGCTTTCAAAGGCTACATTGAGAATCCAGAATCAATGTTGCTCTAAATCAACTGGGGGTTCTTGTTTCTTTTTGTTTTAGACACATTTCCTTGCATTGATCAATTTGCATGAGGGCTTGAATGCCATCCGAACGGTTCATCTGAGTTCACTTCCCTTTTGCATGTATTCCTGGGCAATTTTCTTCGGCAGTAGTGCCTTCACTGTAAAACCAAATTGATATTTTTTTGGGAATAAGAAAGATGGGATCATCAATGAGGAACTGAACTGCGAACTGGAATTTTGCCTTTTGCAGAGTGTAATAACCCCTTCCATATAGGTCTCTTGTACTGAGAATACTTGGAATGAGTTTTGGGATAAGCTATTGGTAACCCATAGCATTTCTGATGCTTTTTCATTCAGAATACCTCATTATTATTAAGATTTTGCATCAATTTTCTTTATTGTATTTTTTTGGAGTGTTCTGAATTAGCAACTCCTGGGCAGTAAAAGTACAGAGGGGTTGCCAAATTTTCCTTAAAAGCAAAGTATTTTTGGAGAGCTGTGCTTTGTTTTTGCATGCGTTGAGACTGGCAAGTCGAGCATGACGGTTAGGTCCTTGCTGATGCTGGTTCATCACCTGCTCCCACGTTGTTTCGTTGGTCACGTGCAGGTCTGCCTCGTCCTCGTGCCTTCTCAGAATAGTTACGGTAATTTGTTGCTTCGACCTGTAAGTTAATGTCTCCATTAAACAGGTTTAGGCATGCTATGCCATGAATTTTCTAAGAATTTGGGTGAATCTAAGACCAATAGATCTCACTTTCGAAATGTCAATTTTGTGTTACTTGACAATAACTTTTGAGAAGGGGCAAAATGCCTAAATCAATTCAAGTTCAAACTTCTGTTCTCCAATACCATCTGGGGAATTTTTAAGCTTTGTCAGGTCATGCAACCAATCCCATTTATTATTATTATTTTTTTAAAGGCAACCAATCCATATATTATCTGCTATTAACTAAATATCCATTTAAAAGTTTCTTATGAAAAAAATTTGATGGTTCATCTCATTAAAAATTTTTCTATTGTTTAACTTGTAGTAAAAGAAATATGTAAAAGATGTACTAGTACTGACTTGATTTTTTTAGTATAAAAGCATATTTGGTCATTAATCATTTTATGTACTTTCGTCAACCCTTTCTCTTAATTAGAAGTAACCACTGGAGTTCAAGGCTAGAAAAATGCAAAACGCGTTCACTCCACCTTCTTTTGACCTTTTTCCTTTTGATGTGTGTATGTTGAACGTAGGCAATAAGTTAATCCCATTGCGTATTTGCTGTTATCAAGTTGGTTTCCTTAATTTGAAGAACACGTGACCAAGGATGGTTCCAGTATAGCCTCGCTTTATCATCAGACTAATATGAAACATCATTACTTTTCCAACAAGAAAGTTTCTTTTTAAGAAAAAAATCTTATGTCCAAAAAGAGAAAACTGAGGAAAAAAATAAACTATTCGAGTTAGATTCAACAATGGGAGATAACAATCTGGTAATCTCCTGCATTAGAGTTGACACCTATGTCCTGAAATTATGAAGACAAAATCGTTTCCCTTTCTTCCTTCTCGGGATGCAAAAAGAAAGCAATAAACTGCTGCCCAACAGCACCTCCAAACTTTTGTCAAGCACAACAAGAC